TTCTCACCTACATCGTCCATATAGGACGACTCGGGAACTCAACTCCTACCCCGGGCAGCTCACCTATCCCCTTATGCCCAGGGGAAAGGTATCAAGCCGTTTGACAGCTGATGCTAGCTGTCAAACCGGCTTTTACGCGAAACAGGCGGGAGGCAGCAAACAGCTGCGACCGACGAAGACGCCTGCCACCAGAAGTCTCACTTCTATAACTCTTGAAATATATATTCTCCATTTCATTAGGAGAAAAGAAACAAACCTTATGAACTCATATCATCCAGAGCTTAGAACTTCTCATTCTCTTAAACCATTGGTCTAATTTTAATGGCTAAGCATTTTGAGTAAGAATGAATAACCAGCAATACTCCACCCTTTTTTTCCTGAAGAATTCCAACTGTTTGGAAACAACATATAGTTTAGCATAATAAAATATAAATATGAGTTGATGTTAAAATAGCAGTATGTAAAATCTGCGGAGTAAAATTAACAACCTTGTGATTCTCACAATTCTTGGAGCACATCCAGGTAAATCATTAAATAATCAGGTGAAATGGTTGACATCACCAAGAACAAGGAGGAAAGTTGTATATGAAGGCTTGCAGGCTTCAGCATATGAAGATTGAAGAAATGTTCATAGTTAGTGAACCTTAAAGCTCATTTGTGGGGAAGACATAGACTTAACTTCTAACAAATGCAAATTATAGACAGTTGACCACTTTGTATATGCACTGAATTTGCTTTCTATCAGTTTTGTAGGTTACATCCTTATTTGTTATGAAAAACAATTTGCTAAGCATGGAATTGGGTTGTCCTTGCTGAAGAGGCTACGTCCTTTTCAATTCAGTTGAAATGCATATATATCATCTTTGATGGAACAAAGATGTCTTAGAATAGAGGTTGGCAATTGTGTTAGATCCAAGGCACCATGGAGTGGCCAAATGCCTCCTGATCTGCCTAAAATCTTGCCAGGTTTCTAAATCTTCTGAGATGTTTGCAATCTCATCTCAACTTACATAAAAATTTTCAAATTCAGAAATAGACCTTTTCAAGAATGTTGAATTCTTGTGCAAAATGTCATGACTGTTGACAGTTTAGATTTAGTTCAGCCCTTTTGTATGATTTTAATGTGAATATGATGAGTTACATTATAGATGCTGTTTTTGATAGGATCAGATGCTCTAGCACCCATGAGTTACCACCTAAAGCTTGATATAAATGAATCATAAGGGGATGATTATATCATACTGGAAAATTAATTTAATCTGGTCAGCCATATACCATGGGAAAATATCCAGAGTCTGATAGTGTGCTACAGTTTCATTAAAGGCCAAGCAGATAGGGACCAGCAGATGAATTTCAGTATTGTAACATGCAAAATATATGGCTTCAGTGTCTTTTTAAATATATAGAAGTGATTTCAATTTAAGTATTTCTTAGATTCCATCTTGGATGGAAATTTTCCATCTGTTATCATAGTACATGAATGAAAAATCATTACTATTAGACAGATAGGAAAAAATAAATTACTTCACTCTGGAAGAAGTTTCTCATAAATTAATAAGCTCAGGGGATGACAGTATTTAATGTATCAGCCGATGCATATGAAAACCACTTAATATGACCAATCAAATTCCTCTGGTTTTATCATTTTTCTTGGGCTCCCTGGTGTATGCCCTCTATGGAAGGCAGCTGTGTTGATTGTGTCTTCCTCCTACATTTGGGATTCAAAGGATCAGAAGCAATTTCCATTGCAAATAAAATCTAAAATGTATTTGAAAATAATGTTGGAAACTCTAAATGGCTTTCCTGCATTTCTTGCCAGGACTAACTCTCTGAGTCCAATAAGTCAAGGTGAGAATGGAGTCTGAAGTATGAGATTATATGGCAGTTTTCATATAAACATTGTAATAACTCTGCAATATTTTAAGTCTAAATTTTCAGGTTTTAAGATAGGGAAGTGGCAGGTTTTCTAGCACACACACACACAAAGAGACACACACGGAGGGGGAGGGGAAACTTCAAGTAATAACATATAAGAAAGCAGAACTTCTGGAAAGAAAGTGGTTGATCTATGCTCAAATTGTAATTCAGTGATGGCTTCCATCTTTTTTTTTAAAAGAATGAGAACTATTATATATATATATATATATATATATATATATATATATATATATATATATATATATATATATATATATATATATATATATATATATATATAGCATGTCAAAAAAGAAAAATACTGAATAATCCTGGAAACCTCATTTTATATCAACATCTGGAACAATTTACAGTAGCTACATTTTTTCAACTTAATGATTAGAATGACGAGAAAATGTCTCAGCCAATATTAATTTACTTGCATGTAACAAAACAAACTTGTATTTGTTATCTAATTCACTATTCAGAAATAACAGGATTAATTTAGAGCTTCTAATTATGAAACAACAGTTTAGGGATATCTTAGGTTACTTTAATATCACAGAATCACCTTGGGTCCCATGTTCAACAAATGATTTCTGTTGTGTTCTGTGAATATATATACTTAATTTATGCTGCTGTGTCTCAGATTTCTTTTTTAAACTATTATCACACACAAATGTACACATGTGCATATTTGTGTGTGTGTGCATGCCCACATACATACACACACACACACACACACACACTCCTTTCATTTTCCAAAACAAAGAAAAAAACAGCTTACATTAACGATACCTTTAACACCATCAAACAGCAACAACTGCTTATCCTAGGTTTTTGGGAAGGGCTGGATAGGTGGACAAAATTGTCGAATACAGTCTAAACATTTGGCTGATTGGGCAATAAAAATAGGAAAATAATAAATAAAGAAAGAAGTGTACACAATAAAGTACTTTGAAACACTTAGGCAGTTGTGGCTAAAAGAGCCTTTCGGGAACTTTGTGCTGTGCATCAGTTGCACCCTTTCCTAGCTCAGAAGTCCTTGCACTCATTTACTCAAGTCCTGGTCACCTCACGGTTGGACTATTGCAACTATTATATGTGCTCTACATGGGAACACCCTTGAAGAGTAAGTGGAAACTTTAGCTGGTACAGAATGCAGCCATGTGGGTGGCTCTTGAGGCCCCTAGAGTGGCCTTTGTTACGTTGTTGTTCTGCTGTACTGATTGCCAGTTTCCTTCTGGGTCCAATTTAAAAGTTATCTTTAAAGCCCTTTGTGGCAAGGGTCTATGTTATCAGAAAAGTTTCACCCCAGTTGGATTAAACCACCCCCTACACCAGGAGAACAGGCATGCTGCAAACCCTATTGGTCAAGGAATTTTGGCAGGAGAACAGCCTTTTCTGCCATGGCGCCTGCCCTCTAGAACAGTGGTTCTCAACCTTTTTAATGCCGTGACCCCAACCGGTCGTAAGTCGAGGACTAAACCGGTCGTAAGTCGAGGACTACCCAACCGGTTGTAAGTCGAGGACTTTCTCTGCCCGGGAGTGCCGCGCATGCGTGGTTCCGCCCCCTGCGCCGGCCGAGGCGTAGCTGGCAAGCGGCAGAGATGGAGCAGGCCGACCACCAGCTGGCCCAGCCCAAGGGAGGTAAGGCACCCACCGGAAAAGGGGGGAAAAATGGCAGACAAAAAATGGCGGACAGCCTTGCTTGGCGACCCCCATGAAATGGTCGATCGACCCCAAATGGGGTCCCGACCCACAGGTTGAGAACCACTGCTCTAGAACATCAAGACCCATGAGGTGAGATCCACACTCACCCATTTGGCTTTCTAACTAGCCTGGAGCCCCAATGAGTAAATGGCATACTGGTTGATAGATTAGACAGGCCCCACCTCTTCCTTGTGCACACATTTACTCCCTTTCTCTCCACCTTGGTCAATTTTAACTGAATTTCAAATTTATGGTCTTTATTTATTGTTTTAATGTTTTATATGGTATTTTTATTGAATGAGTATAAGCCACCTGGAGTTGTTTTGGCAAGGTGGGTAGCATAGAAATTTAATAACTAAATAAATAAAATATATTGGTTGTAGATAGGACATAGTTCAGTTGCTGAAGTTTCTAACACCATTCCTCTCACCTCAAAAAAATCTAAAGAAACTGTGAGAATAATACTTGGATAGGACTCTCTTTCAATTTGAGACAAATGACAAACAATCTGACAATAATAGAGAAAAAATGGAAACAGAAGAAGAAATTTTAAAGCATAGTGGAATGAAACAAAAAAAGGTTTTATTTTATTTTGGTTTTTATAGGAGAAAAAAAAGCTTTCAGGAGATTGGATGGCAGGTTTAGGCCACGCGTTATAGATGTCAAAACTAAGGTCAAATAAAATCAAAATAAAATTCAATGTATTTATCCCTGCAAAGAAAGCTGTAGATAATAGCTCAAAGGTATTGCATTTCTTCCCCACCCATCCAGCCAGTGAAAAGCAATAGATAGATAATCTTTATTATCATTTTTTACTGTGAGCACAATGGCACACATTAAAAATGAAATTTTGTTGCTTGCTCTCAAAGTGTACACATATATAACACACATTTAAGTATACTATATACAACAGGTGTCCCTAACCCCCGGTCCATGGACCAGTACCGGGCCACGGCATGCCAGCAACTGGGTCGCACAAACAAGCAAAGCCCCATTTGCTAGATGCAGGCAGCACACAAAACCACACACTCTCCGGTCCGCAGAAAAACCTCTCTCCGTGGAACTGGTCCCTGGTGCCCAAAAGGTTGGGGACCTCTGATATACTACATATGTATAGACCTACACCCTTACATATAAGTAACATATAAATATTAATCACTGTCCATCTTGAATACATAACGGAAGGAGGAAGCTTTAGAGTTCATAAGGTTAATACTGTATGAAACAAAACTGTGACTGAATCTGTACTCAAACTTTTTTATGTTGTGTTTTCTCGAAGCCGGATTTTGATGACAGGCGGTTTGGCCGACCAACATCTATGCTGAGATCGTATCGTCAGATGTCAATTATTTCAATGTCCTCCATGAATTCTGACTGCAGTACACCAAACAAAATTGCTGTAGAAAGGTTAGTTATGGGCCAGCTTCCCAACATGAGTTTTCTGCAAGATACAGACCAGGAGGGAACTGACTGTAAAACAGAATATATTACATTAAAAAAACACATCGTGACTGAACAGAGATAGTAAGCATCTAATCTTATTTGATCTATAATAAAAACTATTACAAAAGCAAATGCTGCTTTTAAAATTAGCAGTGGCAGGCTGATAGCACTGAAGATTGCAACTGCATTGAAGATTTATTCACCATCACTCTAGTACTCATATGCATGTTCACTGAAGCTCTATATAAATATAAAATTCTATATATATAATATTTTGATGATTCTGTAGGACTTCCCAAATATTGTTACCTTCTTGAATTACCTTTCTGCGTAGTTTAACCTATATGTTGTTCTAGTTGTTCAGTAAGTTTTATAGCATCATCCAGGAAAATCCCTCTGTATGAATAGTTTTGGAGCTACTTCCTAACCAATAAACACTGAATAAATAAAATGTAGAATGTCTAGATTTTAAAAATGCTTTCTGCCTTCTCTTTTTCTTTTTCTTTTTGGCCTTTCTTTTTGGCCTTCTGAAAAGCATTGAAGACATGACTATGCCAAGTAGCCTGGGATCCTGTGACACTTTGAAGATGGCTAATGGAGTAGATAACACCCCACCCTGTGTGAACTTGGTTCCCTCTTTTTCCATCCTGTTTATTTTACTTGAATTTTAAACTTAAGATCCTTATTTATTTGTTTTAATGTTTTATAGCAGCGGCCCCCAACATTTTAGGCACCAGGGAACGGTTCCATGGAGGGTGATTTTTTTCATGGATGGGGAGGGACATGGTTTTACATTCTGTCTGGATCCTGCACATGTGTGGATGGGTCTTTGCTTGCATGCATGACTCAGATCCTGACTGGCTGTGGCCTGGTACCAGTCTGAGGACCGGGGCTTGGGGACCTCTGTTTATAGTACATTGTAGTCAATGTCTGTAAGCTATCTAGCATCTCTTTGGAGAGATGAGATATTAGTTTTCCTTTGTTTTCTTATTTATTCCATTCCAAGCCTATTATAATCCTGTCTTCAGATGAACTCTTTGAAAGTTCTCCAGTACCCTCAGCAAATGGCTAGGATTTTCTTAGGTCATTTACCTCCTACTGGTTGTCAGTTCCTGTTTTCATCTCTTTCCTGACTAGGGAACGAATGCCAGTACTAAAAGGAAATGACTGGGTAGCTGTAATGTTTTCCCTAACTAGTTTTCAACTGCTAGGACTTCTAATTCTTGCTTTCCCTCCGGAACTGCCTCATGCCATTGGATTCCCTCTGCAAGGGAACAGCAGTGCTGTGGGCAGATTAATTAAGTTAATTAATTTGTTTCCATTTACACCGGCAGCTTTGAACTCGAAGTCATGTCACCCAAGGCAACCGAATCTGTGTCAGAAGAAAATGGCCGTCTGATAAGCAGCCAGCCTGAAGTGAAAATGAGGAAAGGCCGGAGGAGAGAAAAGAGAAGCAGCGTACTACTTCCAGACAAAAAATCTTCTGACCTTCCTGATATGAAATGTGTATGTTACTTTTAACAAGAATTTAATAGGAAATATCTTTTTAACCCATCTGTGGCCTTTAAAAAAAAATCTTGCATTCTTTCAAGATGCAACAGCCAGTTGACAGTCTAACATGTTGTGAAGCTGCATCACTCTGTTTAACAAAGTCAGAGACTAGGAATCTGCCCTGTAGCTGACATTTTCTGGGTTAATCTGTTGCCTGATACAAGGGCAGATGTTGGGTAGGAGATTGCTTAAGCAATCTGGAGGGGAGCAGCTGGCTGCACATCTATGGCCTCCAGTTCCAGATGGGGTGCCTTCAAGTTAAATAAATGCTCACTTTGAACTTTATTAAAGAAACAAAATGTCTTGCTACGATACCACAACTTTGCAAACTATCCCATAAACAGAGCAAAGAGCTGAAGATACCTCACTGGCACCTTTTTTATGCCATTTATCATCTGAGCACTTTGATCAGACTAATATATCATCAGCCTGAATTTATGTAACTTGCACTGCAAAATTTTATGACAACACTAGGGGGACAAAGGGCTTCTGAGTATTAAAAATGCAATGTCATTAAAGAGAAAAAAAATCAGTTCAGTAAAGAAGTTTCATCCAATTTTGTTTGCTGCCCCAAAGTAGAACTACATGAAGATTAGGTTAGATCACAGATCCTTTAGAAGAATTATAGCAAAATATACCGTATTTTCCGGCGTATAAGACGACTGGGCATATAAGACGACCCCCAACTTTTCCAGTTAAAATATAGAGTTTGAGCGAGAGAGGGGGGGGAGAGAAAACTTGATGAGTAATATGCCAAACCACATGTGTAAAGGAATAAAATAGAATACCCGTATTTTCCGGCGTATAAGACAACTGGGCGTATAAGACGACCCCTGACTTTTGAGAAGATTTTCAGGGTTTAGAAAGTTGTCTTATACGCCGGAAAATACGGTACATCATTATATCTGGACATAAGCTATTTATCAGAAACCATTACCCTATCTATTTTTTTAAATTGAATCTCTTTTATGATTGCCCAAAATATAAAACCAAAGCATTCAAAATTTTATGCTATTCTAATTTCTTATATCTACTAGGATTAGAATTTAGGGGTTTTTTTGTTTTCAAAAATTATGGTGGCATAAATTGTTGTTATTCAGTATGTGCTGCCCTGAAGATTTTGAAAAGAATGCCCTTATGCTGCTTCTTCACTAAATTAGGAAATTTAGAATTGAAAAAAAAAAGAAAAATCAACTTTCTGATATCAAAAAATGTATCAAGTATATTTATGCATACATCTTCTATAACCACCCTCCACACTTTTCATTTATCGTCACAATGGAACGGTATACAGGTAGTCCTCAAGTTATGAGTGTAATTGAGCCTGCCCATTGCACTCATAAATTGAAAACTCGTAGAGTGAATCTCGTTCCTTTAGCGAGATCACTCTCTTCCTCGTTAAAATGCATACAGCTCATTAAGTAAACATGAGGTATCTCAGAGTGGGGAAGGCCATGGGGGGTCTAGTGATGGAACAGGATCCAGGCCTCCCAGACCCACTAAAATATCTCATGCTTCCCCCTCCCTTCCTGCTATGCGGGACTCACCTGGAAAAGGTCTGTCTCCTCTCTGCCGTGGTTCCTGCTGCCGCTCCAATCTGAGGCCAGGGGATGCGTCCACAGCCCCATGCGGCCCAATCCGGGCTCCAGAGGCCTGGAAAAGACCTCCAGAGCCCAGATATATGGCTGTGGATTGATTTTGCAGCCCCCCCAGCAGCCCAATCCAGGCTCTGGAGGCCTTTTCCAGGCCTCCGGAGCCCGGATCGGGCCGCGGGGGACCGCAAAATCACTCTGCAGCCATGGATCTGGGTGGCAGAGGCCTTTTCCAGGCTTCCAGAGCCCTGATCCAGCTTCCAGAGGCATCTCAAAGCATCCCCCAGCTTCGGTTTGGTTCTCTGTTGCAGAGAACAGAGGCCTAAAGAACCATGAGATCACACGAGATCAGTAGTGTGAGATCTCGCTCCACTGATCTCGCGTCATCTTGCGTTATTTTAGGCCCCCATTCTCTGCAAACACACCGAAGGCCTGGAGCAGCCAAGAAAGCGAAGATTCTTCGCAGGGTGAATTCTGAAGGCCTGGTGCCCAGGGAGACCCGCAGCTGGGGTGGGGAGGGAGGAATTAATCCAGGTGAGTGTTGCAGAGCCACTGCAGTCACTCATAAGGACAAATGACTGCTGTGGTGCTGCAATACTCATAATTGCACTAGGGGGCATTCATCACGTAACTTTGAATGAGCGTTAAGTGAATGCTCATAACTCGGAGATTACCTATATAGAATGAATATTATATTTAATTTTAGAATTTGTACTATTTTTGAAAAACATAAACCTAGTTACCTGTCTGGCTAAACATATGTAGAGCAATCCATAACAAATAACAAATACTTCTCTCTCTCTCTCTCTCTCTCTCTCTCTCTCTCTCTCTCTCTCTGTGTGTGTGTGTGTGTGTGTGTGTGTGTGTGTGTGTGTGTGTGTCAGAGAGAGAGAGTATGCACGAGAGAGAACCCACAGTTTACAGTAATCAAATAAACATACTTTCCTAATATTATTATTTATTAAATTTATTTGCTGCCTAATGTTAGAAAAAGTATGTTTCTTTGATTATCTATAAACTTTCATTTTAATATGATCATATCTCATAATATTTTTTATATTCAATCAACAAGAAACCACGAACTAATTCATTCTGAAATAGTTTCGTGTGTGTGTGAGAGAGAGACAGAGACAGAGACAGAGAGAGACAGACAGACAGACAGACAAACAGATAGACATTCTGGTCCTACCACTATGAAGATATTTGGACTTCAATTTCCATGATCTCCAGCTAGTGACAGATAGTGTGATATTTATAGACTAAAACAAGTAGACAACTCCAAATTATCTCTATCTGGTATAGATTATATTTTCTTTCTTTTTTTTCCCTCTGTACCTTTGAACACGTTTTATTAGCATTAAGAAAGATGAGCAGAAGCTCCAGTTTGATTATGCTGTTAGAGCACAATTCAAATTCTATTCACTTATAACAGAATAATTCCAGTTGAATTTAAGGTCCCAAATGGCATCCTTAGGTCAATAACTGACAGTGGCTATGTTTACCTAATACATTACTGACTTTATACTTCCCAGTGTGATCCAGGAACAGTTTCTTTTTGACAACCTCCAATTCAGGAAGAGTCCCTTCATATAATTGAAAAAAAAATTACTGTGGGGCACAATCAGATTGTAATTATTTTATCTTATATATTAAAAAGTAACCCATTAAAATCAAACAATTTACTTTCTTGAGTTTTATACTTTGATTTTTTGTTGCTGTTATGACTGTGCAGCTGTCAAGAAAATATGAATTTATGAGTGATACCAACCTTTCTGAACATCTGGATGTACCTCAGAAAACATCTGTTCTTCTCAAGCAAATGAGTTTTGCCAGCCGCTCTATGCCAACCATACCAGGTAAGTTAATTAAGAAAGTGAAACCTCTGCAGTTTTACACTGTCATTAATTTTTTAAAAAAAGATAAAATCCACCCCCATTCATTTAAAAATAATGCTGTTATGTTATATAATTTTGCCAGAAATTAAATAATACATGAGCAGTTGCAGCATCTTTCGAATCTAGACCATATATTTTCATGTAGGCAAAACCTATATTGCCTAGTATTTAAATATTTTAAAATCCTTCTTGTCCTTCAGTATAGGTTTTTTGGGGGGGAGAGGGGGGAGAACATCAGCATGTATCTTGGAGAATGTCCTTTTTGTCTCGTGTTCATAAACTCATGTTAACACTGTGGAAGAATATATAAAGATATGTCACTTTATTCGTACTTTAGGCAAGAAAAACCAAATGTACAGGTATAGTATAGGGGGTACCTTGCTCAATAGTAGTAACTGTGAGAGGGATCTCGGAGTCGTAGTGGACAATCACCTAAATATGAGCCAGCAGTGTGCTGCAGCTGCCAAAAAAGCCAACACAGTGCTAGGCTGCATTAACAGAGGGATAGAATCAAGATCATGTGAAGTATTAATACCACTTTACAATGCCTTGGTAAGGCCACACTTGGAATACTGCATCCAGTTTTGGTCACCACGATGTAAAAAAAAATGCTGAGACTCTAGAAAGAGTACAGAGAAGAGCAACAAAGATGATTAGGGGACTGGAGGCTACAACATATAAGGAACGGTTGCTGGAATTGGGTATGTCTAGTTTAATAAAGAGAAGGACGAGGGGGGACATGATAGCAGTGTTCCAATATGTCAGGGGCTGCCACAAAGGAGAGGGAGTCAAGCTATTTTCCAAAGCGCCTGAAGGCAGGACAAGAAGCAATGGATGGAAACTAATCAAGGAGAGAAGCAACCTAGAACTAAGAAGAAACTTCCTGACAGTTAGAACAATTAACCAGTGGAACAACCTGCCTCCAGAAGCGGTGAATGCTCCAACACTGGATGTTTTTAAGAAGAAACTGGACAGCCATTTGTATAGGGTATAGGGTTTCCTGTCTGAGTGGGGGTTGGACTAGATGACCTCCAAGGTCCCTTCCAACTTTATCATTATTATTATTATTAAGTATTTTTGTTCCATAACATAGGCATTTAAAACAGAGAGAAATAAAATGTAATGTGCTTGTGGTAAAGGCAACTGTTTAATGTAGTGTTGATAAAAACAGAAAAGTAGGCAAAGTATATTTGTCATAACCGATAAATGTCAAAATTCATCTCGATACTTGTACATCACATTCAGCTGTTGTTTTTATTAGTTGTATGAGTGATCCTAGCAATTCCCTCCTAAAATTTCATCATTCAAGTCTCAAATAAATGGTTCATCTTGCTGAATTTGTGAACATAGTCTGATAGACTGGGAGAAAGTCTAATTCTTTTCTGGTTTACAAACTCTGGATGACTAGAGTTCTTTTGGAATAAATACTTCCATAAAATAATGACGGATTAGCTATCTTGATTTTTGAATGTGTGTTTGAAATATCACTTAGGAATAGCACTTAGACTTATATACCGCTTCACAGTGCTTTACACTGTGGTTTACAGAGTCAGCATATTACCCCCAATGATCTGGGTCCTCATTTTACCAACCTCAGAAGGATGGAAGGCTGAGTCAACCTTGAGCCGGTGAGAATCAAACTGGCAAACACTTGGCAGTGAGCAACCAGCAGAATTAGCCTGCAATACTGCATTCCAACCACTGCTCCACCACAGCTATGGAAAATAGTTCCTATACCAGCATGTAGCCTCAAAGAAGCCTAATTGAAACACAGTTTTCTTCAAGGCCAGAAGGAGGAACTGTTTCTCCATGCTGGTGCAGAAATGGAAACACAGCAGTCTTATTTTACATTCCATAAAAAGATAGGAAAGATGATGGCTGCATCAGTGGAAATGGAAGCTCACTTCCTATACTGCTCAAGGAGTCGGGGGCACAGAATGATAAAATGTATGTTATAAATTACCAAAGAATGGAACTTTATATATTAAATATATTATTTTTGTCACTACTTAAAGATGTCAGGGACAATGCTAAAATAGGAGAACATTTCTCTTAATGTCTCAGTCTTCTGTGAGGGATATCTTTGAAGGATATTCTGTCATGTGAATAATAATAATAATAATAATAATAATAATAATAATAATAATAATAATAATAATAATAATAATAATAATAATAATAATAATAATAATAATAAAGTTGGAAGGGACCTTAGAGGTCATCTAGTCCAACCCCCTGCTCAGGTAGGAAACCCTATACCATTTCAGACAAATGGCTGTCCAGTCTCTTCTTAAAAACTTCCAGTGTTGGAGCATTCACCGCTTCTGGAGGCAAGTTGTTCCACTGGTTAATTGTTCTAACTGTCAGGAAGTTTCTCCTTAGTTCTAGGTTGCTTCTCTCCTTGATTAGTTTCCATCCATTGCTTCTTGTCCTGCCTTCAGGCGCCTTGGAAAATAGCTTGACTCCCTCTTCTTTGTGGCAGCCCCTGAGATATTGGAACACTGATATCAAGTCCCCCCTCGTCCTTCTCTTCATTAAACTAGACATACCCAATTCCAGCAGCCTTTCCTTATATGCTTTAGCCTTCAGTCCCCCAATCATCTTTGTTGCTCTTCTCTGTACTCTTTCTAGAGTCTCAACATCTTTTTTACATCGTGGTGACCAAAACTGGATGCAGTATTCCAAGTGTGGCCTTACCAATCTTTAGCCTTCCTTGCAACACACACACACACACACACACAAACACACACACACACACACACACACACAGAGAGAGAGAGAGAGAGAGAGAGAGAGAGAGAGACTGCTGATCTATCTTTATCTCTATCTCTATCTATTTATCTGTCCATCTATCTATCCATCTATCTATCTAATATGTTTTACTTTTGAAGTGTTATTTGTAATTATCAAGATCCAGCCACATCAAAATATGTCTTTCTGAATGTAAATATTCAGGTTTATTTTTGCAATTTACTGATATGGATTCCATTTTGCAACTTTATTGTGACTATGTATGCTGCACTGTTTTAAAGCTTTAACTCTATCCATATGCTGTCCAACCCTGGAAGAAACAAATGTGTCACAGAGAACCAGTCAGACAAGCATTCCACCCATCTTGGAAACAGAAAAGAAAACTCTAAAAAAGAAGAAAATGAACCAGCTCTTCAAAACAAAAGTAAGCATCAGTGTTTCTGTTCAAATTTTAGGCATTCAAACTTATATTTGTAAGCAACCTGCACATTTCATGTTGGCCTACAGTATTGCATCTACTTAAAATGATAAAAAATATATCTTTCAAAATCTACCCTGTAATACAGGTGGTCTTGGACTTATGACTACAATTGTGCCCAAAATTTCTGTTGCTAAGCAAGACAGTTGTTAAATGATTTTTCCCCTTTTATGACCTTTCTTGCCACAGTGAATCAAAGTTAGTAACATGGTTGTTAAGTGAATCTGGGTTCCCCATTTACTTTGCTTGTCAGAAGTTCACAAAAAGAGATCATGTGATCCCAGGACACTACAACCGTCATAAACATGGGTCAGTTGCCAAGCATCTTAATTTTGATTGCGTAACCATGGGGATGCTGCCACAGTTATAAGTGTGAAAAACGGTCATAAGTCACTTTTTTCAGGGCCGTTGTAACTTCAAATGGTCACTAAATGAATTATTGTAAGTCGAGGACTTACTTGTAATCCCCAACTTTGAATATTTTGTTTTTGTTTAATTATTTTATTTTCTATTAGCTAGCAATGGATTGCAGGGATTTTTAGTACAAAATACGCTTTTCAGTCCATGTCATCTGATCAAAATGCTGGATGCTTTTGGCTACAGTGTGTCACATTATATTTGAAAAGACTATGCTTCAGTTCTTTGTTTTCACAGATGATGACTGCATTACCATGTTAAAGCACCCCCAGTAGATTGTTGCAATTATTATATCCATGATATACTACTGTAACAAGCACTATGAGCTGATTGATTGGCACAGTTGGGGTGTTTATTTAATGCCATCATACTAACTTAATCAAAGATGATTCAGGACACCTTGACACCTAATATATCTATCAGCATATTGATTTGTTAAAAAACATACACGTTGAACATTAACTACAAAAATATTTTTATGTTAGTTCTCCAGAGACAAAATTTCAGCGCATCGGCATTGCATTTTGATTCCTCAAGGGCTAATTCAAAAATAAATTGCATCAAATTTCATGAAAATATATGCTAGCTTGAAACTTTGAATTATTTCCATTGTATAATATAGGGAATAAATTAGTCCCAGTAGGAAACTGGAAGGCAAAAGCTATTTCTCAGATCTCCCTTGTCAATCTTACAGACAATTTTAGACCAAGTTGAGGTGGAAATGTTGCCCTGGATATATAGGATTGTTCATCTAGAATCCAGAACCTGAGATTATTTTTGAGCTTGCCAAGTACAACCTTGTCACAGAGCCAAATAATAGTTTTTCATGTGATATGTAGCATGCATATCCTATCCGCTTCTCTGACTAGATTCACATTTTCTGAGGTAACCCTCAGAGATGTGAACCAAAGCACATCTTTGTTCCTATTTCTAAATTTTCATTTTGCAAATGTTGTTTTATATATAGCTTCCATTGGTGTTGCAGTAATAAATATTTTTAGGAAGGTCATCTAACTTGGCATTGGGGAAAAGCTTCTGTTCTGGCTGTGCTGGAGAAATAAATATTACTGCTCCTTTCTCCAGATGCTGCATTCCATGTAAGAGTCCTGATCATTACTTAGAGGAAATAAATTACTTAACTGTATATATTAATTACTTCCTGTGTCCAAATCCAGTGGAGAAGGCATGCTGTGGGTTGAGTTATATAGGGAGCTACATTTGGCAGGGGGCCTTCTCGGCTGCCACGCCTGCATTGTGGAATATCCTTCTCCCTGAGGTTAAGCTGGCACCATCGCTCTTAGTTTTTGAAGGTCCCTTAAGACCTGATGGTACATCTAGCCTGGGGATGCCAGAAATCAGGCAAACTAGTGATGTGGCTCTGTTATTATTAAAACCCCTTCACCCATTGTTTCTTTTTAGCTGTGTTTTATAGTTTTAATGTTTTTAATAATAATAGTTGTTTCTTGTGACCTTTCTTTTAAAAAAATTGTTATATAATGCCTAGAGTCACTTGTTTCAGGAGATGCTCAACTATATATACTTGAATAAATAAATTAATATGATGCATCACATGTAATGGACATCTATTTCCAGCCCTGGAGCAACATTTTAAGTTCATATCAAAACCGTATTACAGGTAATCCTCGACATATGACGACAACTGAAACCAAGATTTCTATTGTTAAGCAAGACCTTTGTAAAATGAGTTTTGACCCATTTTATGACCTCTCCTGCCACAGTTCTCAAGCAAATCATTGCAGCTGCTAAGCTAGTAACCTGGTTGTTAAGTGAATCTGGTTTCCCCGTTGACTTTGCTTGTCAGAAGATCACAAAAGATGATCAGATGACCCAGGGACACTGCAACCATCATAAATATGAGTCAGTTGCCAAGTCTCTGAATTTTGATCACGTGAGCCTGGGGATGCTACAATGGTCATAAGTGTGAAAAACGGTCATAAGTCACTTTTTTCAGTGAAATAACTTTGAATAGTCACTAAACGTTGTAAGTTGAGGATTACCTGCAAGAAGAGGATGAACAAATCTCTTTTTTTAATCACCCTTTTTCCTAAGAGGAAGAACTAAACTTTAAATAAATCAGTCACCTAATTAGGCACATATAATTTGAGTTCATTCAGGCTTTTTACAACAATGTAGCTCTTTCAAGAAAAGAAGCCATTGAAACTGCTGATTAGCGCCAAACCCAAGGGATTTACTCTGACATTTGTTCAACTACCTTGAGGAAATTAGCAGAGTAACTAAAAGAGCCTCTTATTTCCTATTCCTGGTGGAATATCAGAGGATTTCAGATGCATCTCTGAGGCAACTTTCACCAGGTCTCTAAAATTATCAAAGTATTCTTGTTTTATCCAAGAAAAGCCTCTTTTGTAGACTTCAGTGGGTTCTTCTGTTAATGCTTGCTGTGTTCTTGAAAAGGAGTCTTTAAAAGGTATCCTTCAAAGTTTGTAATTTTTTCACTGCTTTCCAAATACTATCTGAACATAGAATATACTGTAGAACATAGAATCATAGACCGGAAGGGACCTCAGAGGTCTTCTGGTCTAATGCTCTGCTCAAGGCAGGAGACCTTATGCCTCCCAGTCAAATGGTTGTCTAGTCTATTTTCAAAAACCTCCATTGATGGAGCATCCACTACTCCATTGATTAATTGTTCATGTGTCAAAATATTTCTCCTCACTTCTTGGTTGGATCCCTCATTAATCAGCTTCCACCCATTGCTTTCTGTCCTGCCCTTTGATGTTTTGGAGAATAAATCAATCCCCTCTTCTCTGTCACAGCCCCTCAAGTACCGGAAGACAGTTATCATGTCTCCCCTAATCCTTTTCTTCCAAAAGCCAGCTATTGTAAGAAGGGTGGGGGGGGGAATTAGGAAATGTTACCATATAATGTTCGCAGCAAGCGTTGGATTTTAATGTCAATCCTGAACTGATTGCTTACAATAAGATCACAGAGAAAGCCAGGTGTTAACATCCAATCATTTCCTTCTCTTCTACATAGTACAAGTCCAAGCAACCTGAAGATGGAAGATGTACGGGTGAACGGCAACCTGACGTCTCCGAGCTGTGAATAAATTCCACTGTTTGAAAGAAAATAATTATTAGCATTTTTTTTAAAAAAGATTCTAAATTAGAAGTTAAGGTTGGCTTACAATGTTGACAATGTATATAAATCATTTGTACTGTCAGTGAATACTTAATGCTGTTACATTCCTAAATGGATAACTTTGGTGTTATGCAAGATTTATTAATCTGTGGGCTTAATCTCAATATGCTGGGACTCAATGACAGGAAGTGATCATTGGAGAAAGCATTGATCTCTCACTGCGCATAGAAATTAATCAACCCCAGACTTGATGTTTACAATTGTTTTGCCTTATATTTGCAAGATTTTAAGGTTTACTAAAATCAAAATTTCATTCAATCGCAATCTTATTTGATTCCATGGGAATGCATTTATGCATTTATTTCCCATTACCAAGATATCTCTTATGACCTCTCTTCTATATTTTATTGCTTGTTCCTGGAATACAAAAAGATGGCTTGTGAGATATTTGTTTCATATTAAGAGGCAGTCTGACTTTCTTGGCTTAAGCAGTTCTTTTCCAAAATTGATCCTGTCAGTCTTCTCTGGCAGTGTACTGTCAGTAATTGTTGAGTTGTAATAGCCCAGGCTGAGTTTGCCCACAGGTTGATAATTTTGTGTGTGTGATATTTTAGTACCACAGTATGTTTTTAAAATGTTCTGTCATAAACTGTATCATCTTTCTTTTAGGAAGTCATTTCAAGAAATATATCTTCATTGGTTCATTATGCCAACATTATGTCAAAATATTCATTAGTTTCTGTAATTTCTAGCTGAAGCCCACAGTACAACTGCTTTGATCTAATAAACATATGATCAAAGGGACTTCTTTTAAAAAGTGTTCAACTTCTTGCCTCAAGTTGCTTTGGAATTGCTACAAGAACAGGGTGTGGTATTAACTTACTCTTAATAATTGATATTCTGCTGTAGTAGAAGTTTAAAATAGAAGAGCCCAGCATCACTTACTATTTGTTTCCCCTTACTTGAAATATCCACTAGCACAAAAAAAGCAATCCAGACTGAAGTATGAGGCAGCTGTGTTTGGATTTTTCTTTGGAGTCTGCAGTAGCTATCCCAGCTCTCTATCACATAGAATATTTTGGTCTTATCTCCATGTGATGTGAGTCTTGTAGAACTACAAGCTTTCTCAGCATTTATTCCCAAGATCTGGAACTCCAGAGGTCAGAGGTCCAGAAGTTCCAAAATCTAGAAGGCCAAATCTGGAAGTAGATCTGTCTAATTCCTTCTGTGTTATTCATTTATTTATGAAAATTTATATGACCACCCAACTCATTCTTAGTGACTCTGGGCAGCTTACAAAAATAATAGCCCAATATAAAAAAACAATAAAAAGCAATACTCCTTCTTCCATCAAGAGGCAAAAAACATTCATTTCAGCAAAAATATTACATAAATTCCATCAACAGGAAAAACATATTTCTGCAGAAACATTACATGCACTCCGGTTTTGCTGATAAATTGTGTAAGGTGCTCTGACTTTTATTGAAATTTATTTATGGTTTGATTGCATACTTATAAAAGTACTTCACTCCCCTCATTTAGAATGGACTGTTTCTAGTGGTTAATGTTAATAAAATAATACTTACCATAATGCTTATAACCTATCAGAAGTATTGAGTTATAGATTGTCTTTTGATAAAGTCTTCAAGTACTCATTGTGTAGCAATGAAGATAAATAACTCTACAATCTCTGTCTCTAAATATCACTTTCCCCATTTGCATGATCTCATACTTACAGCTTAGTAGAACACAAAAATCAGATGCTGTAACACTTACCATTTTCACACAGGGAGTGAATCATCCTGACACCATCAAGTGTTGAATGAATAAGCTATTATTTTTCTCTTTTTTTCCATCATCAGATCTGAAGAGTGCTGCTCATTGCTTGATATTAATTCTCTGATGTACAGGCTTTCCCTAACATGAAGCTCTTTGTTTAGTATACTTAGTAAAATATTTGTATAGAAACAAGGCATGTCAAGTTGAAGGGAGTTTATTTCATTTCTAATTGAAAATGGAAAATATGTTATTCAGGCTTCCTTTCTTTCTTCTGTAGCTTGGAAATAGATGATAATGAATCTTGCTTGAAAATAATAATATTGTATGTGACTGCGCATACTTAACTTTTAATAGAAAGTTAA